AAGCGAAATGAAAATAAGCCCTCGGGCAGGATCTCCCTGACCCGTGCCGAAGCGATCTCTATGACATCATGTACACATACACATCATCTACATGTGCTTACCAACACATACTGTTTATTCTTGTTGATGCACGGGCACTTTTGTGTGCATGTGTGTGTACGCCCGTGTGTGTATGCCTATGACCACATCGCAGTGATCATCCGTACGTTGAAGCTGTGGAAGAAGTGTCCGTTCTGACCATGGATCGCACTATGTAGGTGACCATGTACGCCTAGTCTCTCAGCTCCAGATAGAATAATACTGCTACAGTACTTGCAGTAACATATCAGTGCCCGGGCCAGTAGCCACCCGGAGTTTATTAACCAGGACTTGAGAATTGCTCGAAGTGTTTTTGTATTTTTGTTTGTGCAGAGATGAGCCGAGTTGTGGGCTCTAACTTTGATTCCTGATGGCATGGTTGTGCTAGTCAATACAGCTGAACAATACTCAGCCACACGTATTTACTTTTCATCAATCTAGTATCAGGATAGGAAAGAAAGCCGGTAGCTGACTTGGCATGAACTTGTGCTCGAATCGCTACCTGCGAATCTGCCCTGTTTATCCGCCGGTTGGCAAAGGAGATGGGTGAGGTGGATGTGGCTGTACGGAGATGGGTGAGGGGTGTGTGGCTGTACATGCCCAGTGATTAGCGTATCGGTGGCAGAGCCAGTATACCTACAAGTTACCTACTGACACGTTTACACAATGGCACTATCTGGGGTGCTCCGCCCTATTAAAGTTACAGCTGGAGAGTTTTTTTATCATCTACCATATGCCATGATTAATTACAGTGTACATGGTGAGGATTTTTGCTGGGCGAATCGTTTTCCTTCGAATCCAAGTCTGCTGTGTTGAAAAGGTGTGATGAAAGCAACAGTGAATGAAATGATTTTCGAAAAAACGAGGATTTTGCCATCCAGAATTCGCCGGTATGCTATTTCTGTCATAGTAGCTTCAATTGTCAACAAAGGACAGACCCATGAAAAATTCGACATTCTCACATGTGTCTTCATGCGTTTTTTGTTTCCTTGCTTTGTTCTTTTTCAGGAACGCCCTTTATCGGTATGCTTTCATCTACGATATGACACCGAGTGGAAGGAAGTTTGCTAAGGCATTGAAGATCATGCATGGCATGTCGTCCAAGATCATTGCAGAGCGCCGTAACGTGCTCGTGAGTACCTCCATGCTACTATTACTGTATTCAACAACCTATGTGCCTACTACCTCCGACAAGCGAAACTTGGCGCGTTTTTTTGATTTTTTGTGTTGGTAGACCTACCACAACTAATTACTTCACAAGGCTGTGAGGTACGACCTACAGTTATAGTTCTAGCTCCATGCAACCGGGTGCAGGAAGCCAAGCGACGAGCTAGTGAGTGGCACATGGCTCAGACTTGGTCAGAGGCAAGCCAGTCTCTCGTGTACCAGCAAAACAGTGCGCGCGTCCATTCTGCGAAGGAGAATCGTCGTGCTTTCGCGTTGCAATGGAAAACCAAGGAGTTCTCTCTCTCCACTTGGTCACTCCGCCAGCACATAGTCCATACGTCCATGCCAAACAATCCTAGCGTCTTTCAATAGCCACCAGAGCGATGCGTCTCTGGTGGCTAAGGAAAATCGCCAGGAATTGCTGCAGGCAATTTTGGACAGTTGGCGAGAAAACCCGGCAAAACAGTTGGAGTCCAGGCACTTGTGGAGGCGTTGCACAGTTCATACCACGTCAACCTGGATAGTGGCGGCGGAAACGACTACCCTCGGCACCGTGGCTCGAGCACAGCACCCAGGAGCGACATCGAGATTTTCAGAGCGATTACAACAGAGGTACTTGCTGCAACTGAATCCGCTCTAGTCGCACTTCCGTCTCAAAACAGGAACAATTCCTCTCCAGACGAAACTGCGATCTCTGAATCAGAGGAGAGTGATTCAGCCGAACAGATGTCTCCAATGTTCTTGTTGAGCGATACAAAGTTGAATTTTGGTGAGTCGATCATTAGTTTTGATTGTAAAGTGTGAGTTATTTCTAGTAATTTGAAGTAACAAAACGCGCCAAGTTTCGCTTGTCGGAGGTAGTATGAACAATAGTGTCTGATTTCTCCAGGTAGCTGGCTCCAGCCAGATGTGAACCGGTTAAATTAGATGAAATCCGTATCAGAAGGTTGGTTGCTTGCAGCATTTGAGCTCGCGCTTTTTATAGTTATCGCCTAGGTCTCCCCCACGAGATCCCTATCAGATATACCCTATCTCCCTATCAGATATATTCTATGGTGTGGCAAGCAGAAATAGCCAACAGAATATCTGAACGGAGTAATGCGTGAACTGGGTGGCCAGATACGAACAAAACCCAGGATGTCTTGAGCACCACTTGGGACCATGGGATTTATTTATCTTGGCCGAGTCAACCAGGGTCAAAACCCTCGCACAGACGGGCGCAGTAGCAGAGGAAATAGTCGGGTGTATAACTATAACCCCAAGTGGCATACTACAGAACCATGGTAATCCTCAGTGGTGGCACTGCTCAGTGATGGCAAAACACAGTAAACAAGATGATAAACAAGATGCACCTTGTGCTAGCATCATGATCATCCAGTCATTCTCCAGTGTGCACTGAGTGTATGCTAGCCTTTTTTTAAAGACTTCTTCAAGTGCACACTGTCTTGTCTCCACTCGTGGCCGTCTGGCTGGGTTTTCCCGTGCTTGTTTTCACAGAGCACTGGCTCCGACCAGGCACGCAAGAGCAAGTACCTTGACTTCCTGGACATCCTCCTGACAGCCAAGGTATGTGTACCATGTGTGTTACGTTTCTACACAAACACACTATTAGAGCACACACACACAGCACAACAGGACTTGGGTTTACAAACTTTACTTGGCGTCTAACTAAGGTACGTACGTTCTTGTACGTACTGCTCTGTCCAGTTTGCGGCAGTTGCAATGATGTTTGACCTGATTGCGTTGTGCTCACGCTATTGCAACTCAGTGTGTGGCTGTGCACATCTTGTTGTTCAGGATGAAGGCGGCAATGGCATGTCTGACAAAGAGATTCGAGATGAAGTCGACACATTCATGTTTGAAGGTCATGATACAACAGCTCATGGTAGGTCACTGACTTCCAACGCCTAGTACAGAGTGTACACAGTGTACAGAGTGGGCTACGGTATCTTCTGGGATATACCTCCCCCGCCTGTGTAAGCAAAAGGTTGATATCTTGCTCAAAGAGTTTACCTGTGTCTGAGTTGTAAAGTATCCATGGGTTCGTCTCTCATAATGGTAGAATCTCATAGTCATAGTGATAGATATGCGGGATGCACAGAGCATTATGTCTGACTGACGGCTACTGTAAGTCACCAAATATTGAGCGCAAATATTCGGCGCATATTTGTTTTCGGCTATTTTCGGCCAGGTCATGTTTGGCCGAAAATTTGTTGCGGCCTAAATTTTGTTTTGCGCGGTTTAGTGTGACAGTGTATACAGGCGGCAGCAATACAGGCCGAAAATTTGATGCGGCCGAAATAGGTTTTATCCCAGGGAGGCCGAAATTTGAATGGGCCGAAAACGTACAGTTCTCCGAGGGCCAGCTACTACACAGTAAGTGCTCGATGTGCAGAGGAATCTTGTGACCCCGTTAGACCTCTTCTCTTCATGTGTGGTATGGGGTATGTGGTATGTGGTATGGGGTATGGGGTATGTGGTATGTGGTATGTGGTATGGGGTATGTGGTATGTGGTATGTGGTATGTGGTATGTGGTATGTGGTATGGGGTATGTGGTATGTGGTATGTGGTATGTGGTATGGGGTATGTGGTATGTGGTATGGGGTATGTGGTATGGGGTATGGGGTATGTGGTATGTGGTATGGGGTATGTGGTATGTGGTTTGTGGTATGTGGTATGTGGTATGTGGTATGTGGTATGTGGTATGGGGTATGTGGTATGGGGTATGTGGTATGTGGTATGTGGTATGTGGTATGTGGTATGTGGTATGTGGTATGGGGTATGTGGTATGTGGTATGTGGTATGTGGTATGTGGGATGGGGTATGTGGTATGTGGTATGTGGGATGGGGTATGTGGTATGTGGTATGTGGTATGTGGTATGTGGTATGGGGTATGTGGTATGTGGTATGTGGTATGGGGTATGGGGTATGTGGTATGTGGTATGTGGTATGGGGTATGTGGTATGGGGTATGTGGTATGTGGTATGTGGTATGTGGTATGGGGTATGGGGTATGTGGTATGTGGTATGGGGTATGTGGTATGTGGTATGGGGTATGTGGTATGGGGTATGGGGTATGTGGTATGTGGTATGTGGTATGTGGTATGTGGTATGTGGGATGGGGTATGTGGTATGGGGTATGGGGTATGTGGTATGTGGTATGTGGTATGTGGTATGGGGTATGTGGTATGTGGTATGTGGTATGGGGTATGGGGTATGGGGTATGGGGTATGGGGTATGGGGTATGTGGTATGGGGTATGGGGTATGTGGTATGTGGTATGTGGTATGTGGTATGTGGTATGGGGTATGTGGTATGGGGTATGTGGTATGTGGTATGGGGTATGGGGTATGGGGTATGTGGTATGGGGTATGGGGTATGGGTAATGGGGTATGGGGTATGTGGTATGGGGTATGTGGTATGGGGTATGTGGTATGTGGTATGTGGTATGTGGTATGTGGTATGGGGTATGTGGGATGTATACATGTGTATGAGCCAGGTTCTGGACTGTCTGATCAGACCTGCTTACAAAGTGCTTCTTCCCATTTCTCGACCGGATTCATTGTGATAATCCGGCCGACGATTCAAGTCTACTTTGCACTCTTTGCGTTAAGTAATGTGCATATGGTCTACGACTCCAAAATGCTCAAAATCGCCTGGTGAATAAAAAAATTACGCATTCCAATTAATTTTGTAGAAGATTCGAAATTATGCGGAATTTTCCAATTTCGTGGTATGAACGTCAAACCATGGACATGTACAACGTATGAGCGTGAGTATGCGGAGCTGTGCACAATAAATGACATTGCCGTTCATTACCGATTGTTTGTGCATGTTCTATCGACTAGGCATTGGCTGGACACTGCACTGCCTTGGTCTGAACCCAGACCATCAGCAGAAGTGTCGCGATGAGATTGATGAGCTACTCAGCGGCGGCAATCAGGAGTTGGAATGGTAAGTGGTCGGATTTACATGTAGTGTCTCATTTGGAGGGTAAGGGGCAGGTGTGGTCATGATTAGGAGCTTGCCATCACTGGCTCTGGCCTGAGTATTTGTGTGCCTAAAACAATTGTGTGTGGGAGTACGGGTACCTGTATGTTATTGATAAAGTGGCACTTGTAATGGGGCATTCCTTTTGTTGAAATTATGCTGGGCTCAGTGCCAAAGTGTGCTGGGCCAGTACAGCCTCTTTGGACTGAAAATGGTACATGCCATGCTTCACGAGGGCATATTCAGTGATACGCCGCCCCTGAAATGATTTTCTGTGGCATTTATGTACAGTACCAGTGGGGGGGGGATTCTGGATTTGTAGCTTGCATGTGCCATTTCCCTTTTCTCCAAGGACGTGGCAAGAAAACAAACAGTATCGGCATGTCTGTCAATACAATCATAACAATGACAATGATGTATGTTTGTATCGTGTCAGGATGGCCGAGCGGTCTAAGGCGCCAGACTCAAGGTCTTGTTTACCTTCTGCAGTCAATGCAGATTGGAGCCTTCTGGTCCACGTATGTGGGCGTGGGTTCGAATCCCACTTCTGACACTCTTTTTTTCTTCTTTTTCCCCACCATGGGTGATAGGGAAACTCCATTTCCACTTCTGACACTGATTTTCTCTTCTTTCTTATTTTTTCCCACCATTCAGGGATGATATGGGCAAGCTGCGTTACACTCACCAATGTATCCGTGAGGCGATGCGTATCTTCCCACCTGTGCCTGTCACTGGCCGTGTACTCACCGCCGACACGGAGATCGAAGGCAAAGTGGCTCCAGCCGGTACGTGTCCACCAGTGTCTTGATTGCTTGTTAGTATGGTTGTGTTCTCAACGAGCTCATGAATGAACCACAGTTGTGTGTGGGGTTCTTTTAGGGCCACGGGCATTTACCACACGATTGCCAACGCTTACTTGCATGCTGTGCTGCATCTGATTGGCCATGTGGATTTTGTAAAAATAAAATAAAAATTCACCCGCCACCCAGCACTGTTATAAGATATTCTGGAGATAGATGGTTGTTTGGACATGTCAGGACATTCTACCCGGCTTTAGTCTCCTTGTTTTTTGGTCATGAGGTGTGGCGTGTGTCTTCTAGCTAGCGCTGGCCTATGAAATCCAGGCTCATGCCCGTAGCAGTGCCGGAATACGACATTGTAGTGATTGTACTCACCCGTAAAGACCTTTGTCATTTTTTGCACAAACGTTTGAAGCTCTTTACCCGAGACCAATCGTTGCAATGGCTCTCTGTTTCACAGGGCACATCTGTATGCCTACTGTGTTCCCTTGGGAACTGTTGTTCCAATACCTTTCTATGCAGGTACTGGTGTCATTATGAACATTGTTGGCCTTCATCGCAACCCAGACGTGTGGGACAACCCAATGGTGAGCCAAGCTACCAAGAGTCCATAACCCCAAGAGTGTGCAACTCTGTACATGCGGATCCGCGCGGTGGAATTCCAACATTACGTCGAAAATGACGTACACGTTCGTTGCGCTTGTACTACCGACTCTCTGGTCCCAAGCACCGCGGAATGCGGAGTTTTGTCCTCTGTAACCCAGCGGCATGACGTAATGTTGGAATTCCGCTGCGCAGTGGGCCTACAGCAGCTAGACCCCAGTTGCACACTCTTGGGGTTATGGACTCTTGAAGCTACACCATAACATCCTTCTGGCTGTGTTCTTACTGAGAATGTGCAAGCTACTCTCGTCATTCTGATTCAGGGTTAAAGTGCCGGCCAGTGAAATTCAACCTCATGAATAAAGTAGCATTGCCTGTGGGTGGACATAGGGTAAAATCTCGTCAGCGCGCCAGGCTCTCCACCTTGATTTCTCGCCTGGGAAATGACCACGATTGTATAATAGTGTGGTCTTACGATTCCATATGCTGCACTTCAGAACCGATTGCGAAGGTCAACGGAAACTCCCACCGCTTGACCTCTGATCAGTGTACAGGTTTTTGGGTGCAGTTGTAAAAGTCTCTTGGCTTCCATCGATTCTAGTGGTGTCTGGCAACAACGGACCTTATCTGTCGCACAATTACACACGTGTAGGGGGCCTGAGGTCGATGCGTTTTGCGCATGCTGGTCTGTACTAGATTCTGCTACAGTATGCACGTCGTGCACCGTCTCTTTTGTATGAGCACGTCACGAGTAGCCCAGAGTTGCGTTGTACAGAACCGTGGAGCGATCTCCCATGAACACCACCCCGCGTAAGGGTTCAAAGTGACATGTTGCTCTGAGCCTGTGGCGTGACTTTTTTTAAGGTACTAGTGTTCATAGTAGAGCCAGAAGCCATGCAGTGCCTGGCACTACTCATGGGGTCGAATTTCACAAGCCAGTGTCATAGTATCAGAGCCATGCAGTGCCCGGCACTGTTAATGGCGTCGAATTTCACAGGCCAGTACTTTGGACCAGTGCTTTAAAATAGCAATTGCCTTGAACTTTAATAATGCTCATACAGTATTTTGTGTCAAATGCTCCCCCGACACATATGCGGAGAGCTTGCACCGCTGAACTAATGTTCTACACGTTTGATTGTATGTACAGTGTGGCATGTTGTTCCTATTGTCTTTCTTTTCTACTGTTGTGACAGGAGTTCCGACCGAGTCGCTTCACCGACGACGAGATGAAGAAGAGAGATCCATTTGCGTATGTTCCGTTCAGTGCAGGTCCAAGGTACATCATGTCATTCATTGCTTCTGTGTGTGTGTTCTTGAGTCTAACAAGCATGCATTTAGGCAAGCATCTTTTAGAAATAATAGTGAGCCCTTTTGCTGGGAAATGAAGTAATGACGAAACTGAAAAGTGAGGATCCCCTACGGGATAATGCCAGGCATGCCCGGCGACACAACAAACAATTACCGAATTAAAGCTGTGTGGACCCTGGCTAGCGCCAGACGTTACTTGAATTTTAGATTTTGTTCTCCGGGCTTGTTTCTCCTCCCTCATGCGGATGTCTGAACTCTTGTTAACTAAATCTAAACAACAAGAAGTCAGACATCAGCAGGCCAAGAAGAAAACACTTGCTGAACTCTGATTGGCTGAGGGCAGTTGGCCAGGTGTGAAGTTCAGAGCCAGGATAGGCTATAAAAGTAATCATTCCAGGAGGGGATGGTGGTCGGGGTTTGGGATGGCCAAAATTTTAGATTTTCTTGTTTCACCTCCCTCTCTTCGGACCCTCCTCTTTGATGGCTTAACTCTTTTTCTGCTCTTTTCTGTTCTTCCTCACCTCTTCTCTTCATATGTCTTTGTTTGTGTTTTAATTGATCTTTCACACCTTCAAATGAGTGAAGTGAATGAGGTTGCTTGACCGATCAGAGCTGCCAGTGCAGCCCGGGCCTTAGCAGGCTATAAAAGCAATCACACACGGAGGGGTGGCGGTGGTTGGGGTTTGGAATGGTATAGCTCTTTGGCCGAAATGGCTTTGAATTTTCTTTGCTGGCTTCTTTCTTCTTGGCTTGCTATTGGCAAGAAGAAGGAGGATACATGCAGATACCCACGGTACATGTACATATCCTCATTCTTCTTGCCATTAGATGCCCGCCATAAATTCGGATGTAAAATTTCTCAGCCAATCAGAGTTCAGCAAGTGTTTTCTTCTTGGCTTGCTGATGGCTAAACTTTTTTTTATTGACCGTCGTAAGGCGGACTTTTACCATGACAAGACATGACAAAGAAAAACGACGCTGCACTACAGTCCTTTCATAAAAAGATGAGCGCTGGCTCTGGCGAGCTCCTGTGTTTGGCGAATTTTCGTGATTTTATCGTACACAGTGCAGTGCCGCGGAAATTTGAGGTTAGAAAAAGGGTCCGAAAAAGGTACCTCGACTGGGGTTTGAACCGGACAATGCAGTGATGCAAGTCCGGGAATGAAACGGATTGGATTTTCATGGCCTTTCCCAATTCAGTGCTTACAAGATAGAACCCGGCCGAAATCCTATTCTTGTTTTGGCTTGCTTTTCGGAGAAATGGACTTCAGAAATATAATAATTATTAGAAGAGCATTCCATGGGGGATTCCAGAAAAAATTGTGAAAAAAACTCAAAATTTGACCCATTTCTGGCCGCAAAAGCTAGGATATCATCTTTTTCTGAATGGACTGTAGTTATGTTTAAAGCAGTGTCAATTTGGTGCTGATGTAATCTGTAATTCTGCAAGAATTCTCTGAATTTGCAGTAGAATTATGGTTACATGAGGAGGTGAAAGCGAAGATGTGACAGTGTGTTAGGCCTTTCATCTCACATAATAAAACCCGAGATTTTTTAGTGACGTCAATAAACAAACACATCTTCGCGCCTTTATCCTCAGCTCCAACCTGACCCTCACTGGCCTTTTGAACGAGCTGACAGAAAAACTAGTATTTCATGGAATACAACTTGAATTGGCAGGTGGCACTACAAAGTCATATACCATAGGAAGCGTGCAGTCCACACCTTGGAAACATGACACGGATAACGGGATAAACGGAAGTATTATACATTCGGCACCGCAGCCAAATAACACATAAAATAGTGGTCAATCCAACAGATGTGGATCACTAGAGCAGACAGTCAACCCACTGCTTAGGAACTGTGACAGCTAGGGTGGGTAGAAACGGAAACGTTCATCATAGAATGGGTGGGAACACACTGTCACATCTTCGCTTTCACCTCCTCATGTAACCATAATTCTACTGCAAATTCAGAGAATTCTTGCAGAATTACAGATTACATTTCAGAGGTTCCAGCTCGATGCTCCAGTGTGTCATTCAAAGTGAACAAAACCTAACATCGGTCTGAAGAGGCAGACACTGCAGTCGGTCCGGACTGAGCGATCAATCAGCATTCAGGACAGCTTGGGTGAACTGGGCCATTGCAGATGGCCGGTAGTAATGCCGAATAAACGTGCTGGGACCACTCCAATCAGCGGCGGCAAGCACAACTTCCATGGGGACACCAGAAGAGCGAGCAGCAGACGTAGCGGCAGATCGAGTTGAATGACCAGAGAACTGTGCAGTGTCTACTCCACATAATCCCAGCGCAGACTTCAACCAGCGGGAAATTGTAGCAGCCGTAACAGGGTTATGAGGCTGGTGGAGCGACAGCAGCAGCTGCGATGGTGATGTTTTGCGGAGAGTGCTAGTGCGCTTGAGATACTCCAACAAGCAGGCCACAGGGCAAAGTTGGGATTCATCAAATGATGCAATGAAGAAAACCTTCAATGTCCCAGCATGTTGGGTCTTCGTCGGCGCTGACAACGGTAACGAGACTCCGTCAGGTTTCCGTAGAAGCGGCCCTGAACACAGCAATTGGAGCTCGCGGGAGCGAGGTGCTTTGGCTAGCGCCAACAGAAGCACCAGCTTCTGGCTCAACTCCGTGAGAGAAAGATCAGGATTCTGGCGCCAGGACCGAATCGACGACACAACTTGACTAACGCTCCAAGTTGACGTATATCTGGGCTGTGGTGGGCGGCTGTTGTAGGCACCACGCATCACCTTCGCGACGTCCTGCTGTTGACCAACCGGACAGCCAGCTATCGACGGCAGCATGGCAGACAGGGCAGATCGGAAGACATTGAGTGTGCGGTACTGATAACCATTCTGGAACATGTCGGACAGGAAGTTGACTATCATCGGCAGAGACGCGTGAAATGGATCAACCGCCTGTTGACCACACCAGCTGTGCCACTTTCGCCAGGCACTGTCATACAACCGATTTGTGGAAGACCTCCATGCCTGACACCACAGCGAGGCAGCGTGCGCTGAAAAGCCACGCTCTTGGAGTTGCTGCCGGAGATGACCCATGCGGTCAGCTGAAGCCTGTGACGAAGCGGGTGCTGTTCGTTGTCTGGCCCCTGCACCACTGTCGGACTGAGCAGTTGTACCGGGTAGTCCACCAGCATTGACAGAAGCACGGGATACCAAGGCTGATTCGGCCATGCCGGGGCAACGAGGACCAGACGATGCAGCTGCTGTGTCCGCGCCATCTGCAGACATCTGCCCACGAGACGAAACGGTGGAAACGCATAGCCGTTCTCCCATAGGTGGGGCATGGAGAAGGCATCGATCCCTGTCGCCCACGGATCCCGATCCCAGCTGCAATACGTCGGCAGTTGGCAGTTGTGTCTGGCGGCAAAAAGATCGACTTGGCATGGTCCCAGACAGCGGTTCAGTTCCTGGAAGAGCTCCGGGTCCAACATCCAATCCGACGTTGTGCGTTGGAAGTGACGCGACTGAAAGTCCGCATCCACATTCTCCTTCCCGGGGACATGAACTGCGATGAGCTCCAGGTTTCTGTCGATTGCCCACTGCCAAATCTCTTGGGCGAGCTGACATAGTGGCTGTGATCGTGTTCCGCCCTTCCGGTTCAGGAATGCAACAGTCGGAACGTTGTCGACCTCCAGGCGAATGGATATCTGGTGAGCCGTCGATGCGAACGTTTGCAGTCCCAGCTGCACCGCTCTCAGTTCCAACCAATTGATGTGGTGTGTGGACTCGTCTGGGTGCCATCGGCCGCCTAACTGGTGTGAGCCACATACTGCACCCCACCCCAGAAGTGATGCATCTGTTGCAATGGTCAACGACACAGGGGGTACACGGATAGCACTCGTGAATGTTATCTGGCTCGAGGTGCACCACCATTGAAGATCGGCTTGTGCCCATGGTGACAGCGGAACGTATTGGTGACTGGTGGGAGCACCACTCATTGGCCAGTGGTCCAGCAGCAGGTACTGCAGTCCGCGAAAATGGAGGGGAGCGGACTTCACGGCAAATCTGGCGGCCTCCATCTTTCCCAGCAGGCAGCGAAACTCGGGTTCGGCGATGGAACCATGGGTGAGGATCCGCCGGCACTCGTGTTGGACCTTCTTGGCCTTGTTCACAGGCCAATTGATCATCATGGAGCCGGTGTTGATCACCATCCCCAAGAACGCCACGGTCATCGTTGGCATCAGAACTGATTTCTTGCGATTCACCACGAAGCCCAATGTCTCTAGAAGGTGTACCGCTTGTGCTGTCAGCTGCTTGACATGGTCCGGAGATTTCGCGGCCAGCAGCCAGTCGTCTAGATATGTCATCAAGCGACGACCCAACCGGCGGAGCCGGGCAGCTACAGGTGCCAGAACCTTCGTGAATGCCCGTGGGGCATCGGACAGCCCAAACGGAAGGCATGTAAACTGCCAAAGGTGGCCCGTCTGGGGATGACGGAAACACAGGTACGGCCGATCCCTGGGGTCGACCGGAACAGAATGATAGGCACTCTTCAGGTCGATCTTCGCCATGTACATATGCCGCTCCAGGAGATCGGGTAGGTCGCGCAGCGTCTCCGTCTTGAAGTGGTCGGTCTCTACAAATTCGTTCAGCTTCTTGAGATTGAAGATGACGCGCCAATCGCCATCCGGCTTTGGCAACACGAACAATGGGCTCACAAACATGGCCTGGCCTGGCACAACCGGTTCGATCGCACCAGTTTGCTCGAGTTTCTTTAGCTCCTCCAACAGTGCCCGTTGTTCGGGAGATGACAGCACTGGCTGATGGGGCTCTCGGTGCTGATACGGTCGGGAGTGGAATGGGATCCGGTAGCCCCGCACAGTAGCAATCACCCAAGGGTCGGTGGTGACATCTTGCCATGCTGACGCTGCTCGACCTACCCCACCCGCCTGAAAGGTGGGGGAGGAAGCCGCTGGTGTTGGAACAGGCATTTCGGTCCGCACTACTGCTGCGGCGGGGCGCTGTCTTTGCGGGACGGGATCCTCTTCCAGTCCGAACGTCCTCGGCTCGCACCGCCTGTGGGATGCTGTGGTGGACGGGACCACTCGGGCCGTTGAGGCCTGTATGGAGCAGGTCGGCTCGCGCGGGAATACGCCCCGGGGCGGCTTTGCCAGGGCCTGGAGGAAAAACCCTCTGACGAAGAGCGATGGTGGGTCGGCAACCGATCACGACGGGTGTTGGTCCAAGCTGACGTGGACTTGGCGAGGGTTTTCCTCACCTCGCCGTTCTGCTCCAGTTCCTTGTAAAATGTGTCACCAAACAAGGAGGTGCCCTCCTTCGGCAGCGGCAGCTCCTTCGCATCCTTCGCCAGTGCCTTGTGCCCTGCACCCTCCAAGATGGCGGCACGGCGATGAGCAGTCATCCGGGCATTGGCATGCCCCAACAGTACCAGTGATCGCTGAACAGCATCCAGGACTACATCCGTGGGAACGTCCATACTGTCCCCGTTGCTGATAATGTCTTCCCAGAGTTGGGTCAATGGGCCACACGCCGACAAAAAATTCTGCTGTAATTTGTGCAGGCCACTATCCATGGTCTTCGGGAGTTTCTCCCCGAGCCAAGACGCAACGGCGTCGTCCACCGTGGGCACAACACATGCTGCGGTATCGGGACGTGGGTCCTTGGAGGTCATCTCCTTTACTACAGCATCACTTTGGATTGTCCGGAAATACTGCTCTACATAGCTCTGCACTTCTGGAGAGGCTTTATACAAATGCCTTTTCGTGGCAGCCTCCTCGCCCTTGGGATCGAACAGTGGGCGAGCCAAGGGAGTTGCCTGGCCAGCCAATGGGCCCTCCGGCAGATGCGACAGTCCCAGCTCCGGGGATGCGCCTGCAGAAATTCCATCTGGAAAAACAGAGTTCGTATGTGCCAGACCAGCCATTGGGTCGTTCGGCAAGGATGAAAACCCCAGCAACGGGGGCGCATCCACTTCCATGTTCAACACGGGTACATGCTGCGTAGCAGCAGGGGATTGGTGCCCATCAGCAACGTTCAACGGGGAGGTAGCCATGGCCAGAGACGGATTTCGATCCAGGAGAACAATTTTTGGCATCCACACAAAGCGAAAGCGAGAGAAAAAAGGCCAGTGAGGGTCAGGTTGGAGCTGAGGATAAAGGCGCGAAGATGTGTTTGTTTATTGACGTCACTAAAAAATCTCGGGTTTTATTATGTGAGATGAAAGGCCTAACACACTGGAGCATCGAGCTGGAACCTCTGAAATGTAATGGTGAATGAACTGTACAGCATATCAAGAGGTCACAAACTCTGACAGCATCTGCTTTCAGTTGTCGACAGAGCAAGCATACTACAGTCGACTCCTGATATGACGAGCACCATTGTGTGTGTGTATGCAGGAGAATTGCCTGTGGTTTTTATAGCCGATGTTCGTTTTTACAGAAATGCACTCACACCATACAAAGTAGTTTAACAAACAACACGTCACGGCTGGCATGCGGCTCCTGGCTGTATGAGTGCACTTGTGGTATCATGCGGCCCCTCAAGTAATGATAATAGGGTTAATTTTGTATGAGTTCATACAGGGACATGGATAATGGTTCGCTATAGCACGAAATTCGCTATATTATACGAGTTCGCTATATGTGGAGTCGACTACTGTAAAAGCAGAAATTTTCGGTGGTGTAATATTTTCGGTATTCTCCAAAATCGGCAGTTCGGTAGAGGGAAATTTTCGGTAAAACCCATTCTACAGGGAAGTGTACTAGTACTACATGTATACAGAATTGGTTGTACCGAAATTTTCGGTGCGTTTTATTTTCGGTAAAAATTGTCGGCACCTATTTTACCGAAAATAAAACACCACCGAAAATTTCTGCTTTTACAGTATAGTAGTATAGTAGTAAATGGGTATTTCGCTCCTCAACATTTGTCTTGTTGAGCACTCGCGGTAGGCTGCTTTAGTGCTGCTGTGTTACGCTTTGCTCGCTACCTTTCATAGTTTGAGCACTCTGGCGCTAGAGCAACAAGTTGTCTTAAACCATGGCTGGCAACTTGGCTTACTTAAAAAGCCCGTGAGGCCTTTATGTCCGAAACAGCTTGCTGTCTAATGCATTGCGTAAAATAAATAATTTAAGAAATAAGGGGTCGTCCGCAATTATCGAAAGTTTTTTCCAATCCGTAGTAGCTTCGAAAGTGGGTGGGTGGGTCAAGGCCAGTTACGGATTGAAAAACTTCCGAAATGACACGTGCGCGTGCCACGTGTACGTCTACGTGTAGCCCCTGTTTTCCACGCGCGGCTGCGCGCGAACTGTCTACTACAAATATTTTTGTAGTTCTGGCAGTTTCTGCGCCCCCGCGCGCGCTTCCTTGGCTGCTCCTGGGCCGGTGATCATAAAGTTAGTTCGGCGCATTCGACGGCGAGTCGACACTTTCTATTTTTGAGTTTCACTGTCTCCTTCGTCCAGAGTACCGTCTTCCATGCACTCCTTTGAAGTCCTTCCGTCTAGCGCTGGCGTTGACGACTGTTATTGACTATGTCCAGACAGGCGACGTTGTTTGGAAAGGCAGTGAAGAAGCAGCCCTTTTTCAAAACCGCTGGTGACTCTGACATGATGTCACTATGACTCATGAACCAGCACTGATTGAGTTTGTTCCATACATGTATGTGTTGGGTTGTGTGTCCATCAATAATATTTTATTACGGACTGGGGGGTGGGTGGGTGGGTGAGGAAAAATTTGAAGCTACTACGGATTGGAAAAAACTTTCGATAATTGCGGACGACCCCTAAATCTGTTGTAAAGTCAGGTTTTTTCCTCATCTTGGATATCAACTTTGCCTTTGATGCTAATAGACTATAGTAGCTCATCAGTTGAAGCACAGACTAATATCATAGTACTTCAAAGTAATAATAATAATATGTGTAATAAGCTGCAGAACCAAGCAACTGATATTATTGTTTTTAGTACATAAGAGTTGAATAGAATTTGTGAGCAGTTTCTTGTAGATTAGTTCCTTTACCAATTCTCTCTTTTGCTCGCGTGCATTTTCTCGTAGGAATTGCATTGGACAAATTTTCGCATCTCACGAGATGAAAATCACTGTCGCCAAGATCCTGAGAGAGTAAGTGTTTAAAGTAGCAAGAGAATGCGTAATTCTGCCCTGGCTTTCTAGTAGGGATATAACGAATTGTCGATTGTTCAAATTTATTCAGCCTAACAGTGCGAAGTGTGGAAATATCACTAGATCAGATGTGTGAGCATGCTAAAGGGTCGTCGCAAAAGTGTTTTGTCCCTGAAACGAACATCGTTCATTTCGTATTCAGAACCCCCTCCCCTCCGCCTGAAACGAACACAGCTTGCTGTGCTGGACGACTAAAATCGAATGCATGTATATGACATATGGACAGTGTTGGTTGACTTGCGATTTTGCCTTGCACCCCCTCCTCCCCCAAACGAATGATGTTCGTTTCAGGGACGACAAAAAAACTTTTGCGACGACCCCTATATAAAGACATATTCAGATGACAGCAATGAAACTTGTTGGTGCTGCTGTGAAGTAATTCCACCGGTGTCCCAGAGTGTCTCAAATTGGAGAATAGGGATGCTTTCACAAGGCTCGAATGTAACGTTATTTTCAAAAGTGCCGTTTGTAGAATTGATGGTATTCAAGAGAATAATCTTCCGTGGTAACCGCGGTTCGTTACATCACCACTCCGGCAATCTGACCTTTATTGGAAAACAAGAATTTTGCTACGGTTTTCACACAACATGCATTTCGGACCTATTTTCCGTACATAATTCCTTGTTGCACACAAGTGTGTTATTTAAAAAAGTTGTTTGGTCACTTGCCCATCAGGTACTACATTGAGACTGATCCCGATCATGAGTTGAAGCTGCGCTTCGCCCTGGTGTTGCGTCCTATGACCGGACTCATGGTACGGCTTCGCAAGCGAACCGAGATATGAACCACCCATCCGGAAAGAAGATAAACCCAGTCTAGTATAAGAACAGCGCAGGCACGTACGCCACCAATGTCCAGGTCCAGTGCTCTGTCAAATGGTAGCAACTTATTTTTGCTCAATTCTCCATATTTTTGAGAAACACTCCCCTGCCCCCCATTACCTTTCGTGCCAACTCTTCTACTCAATATTCCTGGCGCTATTTTAGCATATTTTCGAGAAATCCACTCCCCTCCCCCATTGCCTTTTGTGTCAATATCCTACCTCTTCTCAGTACTGAATATTCCTTGTGCTGTTGGTAATCATTCGGTGACTGGCTTTACAACCCTGTATTTTATTAGTTTTATTCCTAGTTTTTAGCTTTTGGAACTGGTTGCCGGGACTGAGCTGGTCCTATAACTTGTGGTGTATCTTTATCGTAGAATTTTTGAAAGGTAAACTATTTTTCACTGTTGACTAACACAATACCTCGTACAGTAGTAAACATGTATGTACTAGTTTTAGGTAGGATGATGTTCTCCACATTTACTACTTAGTTAGCTTCTGAGTTTGATTTGGCAATAGCTACCTTTATTTCCAAATGATTTTTTAGAAGTGAACTGTTTCTCAAGATGTATACACTACTAGTTTAAGTTCCTAGTAATAACAGTTACTTGTTATAAGGATAGTCGGGCTTTTGGCAAATATGGCCTCGAGCAGCACTACAAGCCAGCTTGCTGCACTGAGAACACCAGTTCCAAGTATCTAAACGGCTTGTTTCGTGTATCCTTACTGGCAATATAATCTGTAGGGGTTCCATAACATACTGTACCTAGATCACTTTGCGGCTCACTTTGCCGCAGCGAGATTGAGCTATATAAGACACCCTTTGCAAAAAACGTTCCTTTGTAACGGTATTTCCGTAACCGGGGAAAAATACCGAGATTTGGGTTTAACCTTCAGCAAGATGCACACTATTTTTAGTATGCTGTTGCCATGAGAATAGCCTATATTTCACGCGGTACAACCATTCATGGTTCCACATAGTACGCGATATACCTTGAAATGGGTACGCACTACGCAATATTTGACCAAAAAACGCACCGTTTGTCACAACGATAAATCAGCCCTCACCAAGAGTGCACTGATAAACATGTTCAATATTATGGACTCTTGCCCTCACTACACTGGCGGGTTTTACGCTGCACGCTGCAGCTTCAAAGCTATGTGGGTGATCCAGGTACGAGTACCGTAGAATATAGCGTTACCGTTGTTTGCTTTTTTAAACAACGGTGTCTGATAGACACCCTTAGCCAAACAACGGTATTAGTACAGCAAAGTCACACTATGTCAGATGGATACCACGAATCATGCTGACCAGAGTCAATGCTGCAATTTGCAACTGAGCATGGGCCGATTGTTGAAACGAATCTGAAGCTTGATTTCTGCAATTTCAGTAATATTCCATATTTTAAACTGAAAATAATATAAACATTGGCCGGATTCGCATTAATTTAATATTAGCCGGCTAGCACTAGCCCTTTCCCAAAGATGCCAACATATTTCGCAACTTAGTGCTTTTCGAAACCATGGCAAAACCAGTGAATGTTGCCGCTGAAATCGCATCGATATTTTCAGAAAAAGCTCAATAGTTGCTAATATCGCAACTCAAAAATGAGCGAGTTCTTGTGCATAATGATGCCAAAAACAACCAATAAAGGAGCGGAAATGGAAAACACTGGCGCAGCAACACTGGCTTGAGTAAAGTTACTTTGAAGTACATGCGTGTATCTGTATGAATGCATATGTTCACAGTGTGAAACATGTTTAGGAAAATGAATGGACTTGGAATGAATCGTTGTCCGTTTTTGTTGAACCTTTGCACAGCATTCATGACATGGCGGCATGCTCAGTGCTGCCACATGACAATGAGATACATGTATGAGGAGTACACTTGTCATGATGATTTTATGCTATGTTTCAGCGCTTCTTGTTGAAGCGGAGCATCACGGACACATCCTCCAAGGCGCTTCTCTGCAAACAGTTGCAGAAAAGTTGCAAAGTAGTTTGTGAAAATGAAGAAAGTTGCGGAAGTTGCGATTTCTTCCAAAACAACAAAAAGTGGCGAAAAAACGGTGGCGAGCATCTTTGGGAAAGGGCTAGCTAGCACACAACCTCCTCCTTGATACAATCTAGATGTTGCTGCACATCCCGTGGCGAAGGGTTGTTGCTGCACTGCATGCACTCTCTCGGACCATCTGGGCAGGGAGGGAGCCCTACAACTAACTTTAATACTTGTAGCAAGAGTAATAACCCCCGGGGTTATTCTTGCTTGTAGCCTAGGCCTAGCTGTATGATGAGGCGGACACAATACCCCCTCCCCCCGGCCCCCCCCCCCCCGCGGGCCCCGGCTCCCGTTTCCATGGAGGTAATGACTAATGGCGACGCTTTCAACAACAAAAAACACGTACGGGATCCGAGATCTCTACAAAATTTTTAGAAACCCGACTTTTTTTTTTGAAACAGAACAACCATTCCAACCTTGACAGAGCTAGATAATGTAGATAGAGCACGAATCCCAGTGTACATGTATTAATTACAATTGTCCTCTCTATTTTTTTCTCCCTCGTGGGGAAACCACGCTCTGGACATGGCACTATCTCTGCTGTTGAGGAGATTATATCCGCGACCTTCTGTCAGCAGCTGTCTTTCTGGTACTCGCCACTGTTCTCTGACAACTGTGGACAATTCTGGACAACGGACTGCTGATCTTTTAGAGTCTCCTGAGCTCAAGGATGGCTCACCAGAGAAAGTCTTGAAATTAATTGCTGAGCAACATACGACGGACTCGTTCCTCGGCCGGTCGTTGGCAGTGGATGTTGCAAAGTCGCTCACTGAAGATCGAATACGGCGTTTCTCCCCTGAAAATGTTGTTACGCTGATTGCTGCGTCGTGGCGTGGCAAGCCGCACCACTATCCACACGAGCGGCGTGCTGCGCTGAGCCATATTGCTAGTCTATGCACGCCCAGTACTGTAAAGAAGTGGAGTGATGCAGGAGTTGTACAGGTCACTGCTGCTCTTCTGCGACAGCGAGTATCCTCAACAGAGTGCTCCCACCTAGTGAAGGACTGCAGTCGGATGGCAGAAGACAAACTATTTGTCATGGACAGAGATACAATGGTAACAGTAGCAGAAGTACTCAGTGTAAGTCGCAAGCAGGAGCGAGGCAGTTCTCGTTTGCTGAACATCATCAACGACTGGTCCAAGATGGAGACGCCAGTGTTGACCTTGGAACAGAAATTCAGAATCATAGCACATTGCCTGTCCGGTGGAGTTTTCCCGGTCCTCTTGAGTGAGGTACTGCACGGATTCAATGTGGAGGATACCCGTCGCTCAGTGGTCTACACGAAAGAAATGCTTATGAAAGTTGAGCCCAGCGCCTTGGCGCTGATGTGCCGTACGTTTGTTGAACAGAGACGGAAAGTGCCCCACATTCCGCTGCCCGACTACCTGATTGATATGTATCCAACCATCATGGACAAACATGACATGCTGAGCATTCTGGAGTGTTGCACCCTATCGGAACTGTTTACAGCAGCACAGGCTAAGCAGGTTGCAGTACTCGTTGAGGAGGATATTGCCATTATTCCTAAGCACTTGTACAACCAGCTGTTCAGAGCGCTGTCAACGCGCTGCCCTGTAGCGAAGAAACCTCTGTCTCGCGTACAACGCAAAGTGTTTGATGTGGCAGTGGAGCAAACCATGGATTCCAAGTTTGGCGCAACGTTGTTGATGCACGCCTGTTCGCGAGGCTGGGACATCAGTGATGCACTGGTAGCTGAACTCGTCAGTAGCACTCTGGCCAGCAAGATGACCTCTCTATCGCAAGTCTCACGCGTTCTGAGAGCTCTGAGCTTTCGATATCGTACCAGTGCTCCGGAAGACCTGCTATCAGTTGCATTGTCCGCTCTTCAGGCACATACCATTAACATGCACAATTGTATGGATGCAGTGCAGTGCATTCGAGGACTGGCTAGCTTGAACTGTCAGCAGAAAGACTTTGTGGACCAAGTGGCGCTGTTCTTCGAGCAGAACATGGATTCGATATTACGTCAGAACGGCTTGGAGAGTATCTCACTGCTTGCCGTGTCGCTGGCAACCCTAGTGTACCGCAATGTCTGTCTTGCTAGAGTAATGGGCGATGTTGCAGACGCCGCGGCAGAGGAGAGACTCAACGAGTATGTGCGCGAGCAGCAGTGGAGCGAAATGCAGCCCATGTTCGAGGACCGTGACCTGCACCGCATGGTGAACGAACGGCGTGTCCGCAAGCACGTTCCCAACACTGAAGTGATGCGCATCCTTGGGTTCTGCTACCTGAACAAGGTCTACCCACGCCATGCCAGTCTTGCCGTGTCCAAGTTTCAGCCGAGCGACGTCAAGCCGTTCATGCGCACCGACGTTGAGCGGGCGTTTGTGTGGACACTGGCGCCTGCATTGAGTGCGGTTACCCAGGGCCAACTCAGAACCATGCCGGATGTCTTGGAGCGCTTCTTCAAGCTCTCCAAGCACCTGTGGCCTGTCCCGAGCGAGTTTGTGGAGACTGTTGGAAATGCGCTGCTGGAGTACTGCAGTGATGACAGTGATTGCATTCAACATTACATCCTGACTCAGCATGACGCTCGTATTCACTTCACACTGCTTGCATCCAGCGCTGATAATTCAATGAAGTCGTGGAGCCAGCACCGTATCAAGCCGGCCTGTTGTAATGCGAAGCAACTCAGGCATTCGGGTTTCGATCCTATCGCTATCATATGTGTAGATGGAGCGGCTGCCGAACACAACGCTGTTCCCATTCTTAGTGAGTTGCAGCGTCTCTCATTGGCTCTTGCTGGATGGAGGGCGGTGGTCCTGGACCGCTCAGCTTGGCCGGCAGATAGTGCAAGTGTCCAGGACTACATCAAGCAGCAGCTAGCCAGAGCACCTCCGCAGTCTGATACGCTCAAGTCAGCTGGAGGTGATTCTGAGGTATGACCTCCATTGCTATGCTAGTGGTGTTAGGGAATGACTGCATCGCAGCCAGCACTCCTCAACATTGTTATGCTAGTGGTATTAGGCAATGACTGCATCGTAGCCAGCACTCCTCAGCATTGTTATGCTAGTGGTATTAGGGAATGACTGCATCGCAGCCAGCACACCTCAACATTGTTATGCTAGTGGTGTTAGGGAATGACTGCATCGTAGCCAGCACTCCTCAACACTGCTATGCTAGTGGTGTTAGGGAATGACTGCATCGCAGCCAGCACTCCTCAACATTACTACCACTCCTGCTTTATTCTGGCTTAGACTTGTGTGCAACACTTGAACTGTGGTCTGGTGCTGGTCGCCTAGCCATGTAGAGTATAATATTGCACGCAATCGTGCATTCATGTGTGTGTGTGTGTGTGTGTGTGTGTGGGTGTGGGTGTGGTGTGTGTGTGTGTGTGTGTGCGTGCGTGCACGTGTGTGTGCGTGCTTGTGCTGTGTGCATGCGTGTGCACATATGTCTTGTGGCAACGTATGCAGTTGATTTTATCCACATTTCATGTTCTGTTGCCCAACTTTTCCTGGTGTTGGAAGTTT